AGATATTGGTGGACGAGTTTATCCCTCAGAGTTCCCGCCAGCTTGATTTTTTTTTTCCTCGATCGGTGAAGATTGATGATATATAATGTTATTGATCCTCGGACGTAATTACGGCTGATGATGAAAAACAAACACAATTCTGTTAAAGTGCAGCTTGTTCTTCGAGTTACACGGCCATTCTGGGGGAAGAGAACGTGTCTTCGTGTCCTCGGGTACAGCTTTGTGTATTCATTTATTTCCTAGAATTGTCGGGAGGAAATGACTTTCACTCCATGTTACTGGAATGTAATGTGATCTGTACTGGAAACCATCGGATCTCATCCTACCAGTAATGTCATCGAGGAACTTCTCACATCCATAGCATGGCACTCCCCTGTTATTTCCAGAGGCTTTATTTATATACAGTATATATATATATATTGTAATCTTGAGGAGCCCGGCTCTGACAGGAGTCACTTTGGGTGGGGGGCCCATGGAACACAGCCCCCTTTAGAGAGGTGGGGAGTCCCCTGTCTCAGCTCCCCATATCCCTCCTATGTGTAAGTCACCCTGTGCCTGTTAGGGGTGCAGGGTGGAATGTCCTGCTATTGTGTAGACATGTATAGGTGGGGGGTTGTTCATTGTTCACTGCCATGTGGCTGCATCCCATTGTTCTATTGTGTGTCTTGCTTGAGCGCAAACTATTATGGTATGTGTTTGTGTATTGGCTTGGTGGGGGGGGTGTTTCCAGCAGCGCTCCCTCCTGATGGGGTTGTCTGCTGATGTGTCTCTGGTTGCTAGATTTGGTTTGCCCCGCCCTGTGTCCATATGCAGGGGGGGGGCTGTTCCCTTGAATGTGTATATATCTTGTATCTGTGTTAAAATAAAGCAGTCTATCTCCTGGAATCCTTCAAGTCTGGTGCTGTCTCGTCTTGTATGGTCAGCGGGGGTGTCCGTGGATCTGTGTTCGGACAGGGAAGCGAGAGGCTAATGGAAATACCCGAGTGCAGTCGGGGTCCGGTTCCGTTACACCGGCATCATCAGCCAACATAAAAACTAAAAAGTAAAACAAGCCAGCTTGCTTGTAGCAGAACAGAACAGTCCACACTCCCGGTACAAATCAAACTCCTTGGCTCACCTCCCACAAAACTTGTCCCTAACAGGGTTATGTCCCCACCTGCCTCAATGGATCCAAGGCCAGGTCACCAGCAGCTTAGCCGTGCCCCAGTCCCAAGCAGTCCACCACTTCTGCTCCTAAGTGTGTTCTGCTTCACCCCGCTCCTCACAGACACCTTCTGGATTCTTCCTTTCAAGACTCCCTTAAGGTGGTTTCACCCATTCTGGACCAGAAGTCCTTGTAATCGGGGTTTGGGCTCCTTCCCACTCCAGAGTCACTCCGACATTCTGAATTTCAGGTCCCAAATGACTTACCAATCCAGAAAGTACTGTAAATCAGTTCTCTCCTCTGTGAGCGGGCTTCCCCATTATTTGGGTTGTGGACCCTTTAAGATGGAGGATGACATTTTTAGTACTCAGAATGAGGGATTCTGGGGTAATCAGCTCTCTAGATTGGTAAGTCCTCATTTGGGACCTGAAATTCAGAAGTTTGGAGACTCTGGGGTGGGAAAGAGCCCCAAACCCTGACTACAAGGCATTCTGGTGCCGAAAGGGTTAAACCACCTAAAAGGGAGTCTTGAAAGGCAGCAGGAAGCAGCCAGAATGGAGGTGGAGAGTGAAGCAGAACGTTCCGGGAGTGGTGGGCTGCTTGGGACTGAGACACGGTGACCTGGCCTTGGGGGCCCCAGAGGGGACCTAACCCTGTTAGAAGACAAGTTTTATGGGTGGTGAGCCAAGGAGTTTGATTTGTACCGGGAGTGTGGACTGTTTGTTAGTCAATAAAATCGTTCTGGCCACTTCCCTATATGGTGTATAACATCGATTTATACTTTGATATATACTATAATACAGGGGCGGACTGACAACTCATGGGGCCCCCGGGCAATAGGGGATCATGGGGCCCCCGAGTCCTAGCCCACACTCAAACCACACCCAAAAAAGCCTATAAAAGGAACCAGGGGCATCTCATGGGGCCCCTTACTGACCCCGGGCCCTTGGGCAGTCTGAATGGTCAGTCCGCCCCTGCTATAATAAATCTTGGAGGACCGTTTCCCCAGAGATGCTGTTTCAGTATTGGGTAGGTGTCGGTGTTGGAGAAGTAAACCGTCTACCTGTCTGATACCTCTCAGGAAGTACGGGGGGAGATCATGGAGCACCCCGGCATGCACACTGATCCCTCCACACACGTAGCAACCATAACTCGTCTACTTACCTGTGATGGTTGGTACAATGAGCATAGATGCGTAGCTTGTCCCTGATGACTTTCCCCGGACGCGGCTTCCTCTGAATACCGGCCACGTGAACCGCCAACACTTTGGGCCCCACCAGTCTTTTATAAAGCAGCGAGACCCAGTAATCCTGAAATCCACAGAACACAACTCCATTACAAACAGTTCAATCTTCATCGCGGAGGAATTTCCACAGTCACCTCATGAGACGGCGAACAGATGGGGAATTCTCTGTGTGACTACATTGTATACACCGTATATTATCCCATGACATGATTGGATTATACAGGATAATGGATTCACGGCATCAGGAAAGGAGTCATCATGTTTATTGTTCGGTGGGAAGGACCAATGTCCTCCCTGTGTGGCCCTTCCTCATACCGTCTGATCTGCATCTTCTGATTGGATCTTCTGAACCAACAGAAGATAAAGATTCATCCGGGTGGAAATGGCGGAAAAGAGGTCTCTCTGCGGAACGTGCCTTCTACTGCTGGTGGTAGTGGGAGGAGCCTGGAGATCCACCAACAGGGATCCGATCTCTCCACACCGATACCAAGAGGCAGAAGAACAACTGGAAACCCTAGAAACAGCCTTGGAAATGATGTGACATCTTCAGGCACCCGGTCTAAGATGGGGTCCCCGTCACATCAGAAGCCCCCTCCCCCCCTTTACATCAGAGATCTCACTCCTCCCTCTTCACATTAGTCCTCATTCTCTGCCCCCCTCCCCCACATCGGAGTCCCATCCTCACCTCCCCTTCATATTAGAGTCTCATTTACTCCCCCCCTGTTACATAAGAGTCCCCATCCCTCCCTTCACATCAGAGTCCTCATCCCCCACATTTGACATCCAAGTCCTCATACCCCCTTTTACATCAGATTTTCATTCCCCCCCTGTCAGATTAGTCCCCATTCCACCCCTTTTACACCAGAGTCCTCATTCTCCCCCTCCCTTCACATTGGAGTCCTCATCCCCCCCCCCCCCGTCACATCAGAGGCCCTGTCCCCCCTTCACATCAGAGTCCTCATCCCCCCCTCACATCAGAGACCCCATACCTCCCTTCACTTCAAAGCCATCCCCCCTCCCCCCCCCCCCCTTTTCATTTCAGAGTCTCCTTTGGCCCCCCTTACCCCCTTTCACATTGGAGTCTTCAGTCCACCTTTTCATGTCAGAGCCCCCAGCCCCCCTTTACCTTTCACATCAGATTCCTCAGACCCCCCTGACACCCCCACCCCCTGCTTTTTCAAAAAGTAGGGCAGCCATCAGAAATTTTGGGGCCCCTTACACAGCTTTAGGCCTGGGGCCTCCCCAGGCCTGACCACCATTTCCCAGGACCTGCCCTCTGGCTGTCTCACTGAATCTGCCCACTAGCCATCCCATCAAGTCCTTCAGTGCATCCACTTTTATTTTAACACTTTTACAACTAAATATATGAAAATGAAAAGTGTATTCCAAGTCACCAGTGCTTGCCTCCCAATATATCCAGCAAAGAGATGGCCCAATCCAGCAAAGAGACATCCCCCATATATTTAACAAAGAGATGACCCAATCCAGCAAAGAGACACCCCCATCTATTTAACAAAGAGATGGCCCAACCCAGCAGAGAGACACCCCCCATATATTCAGCAAAGAGATATTACAATCCAGCAAAGAGACACCCCCCATATATTCAGCAAAGAGACATCCCAATCCAGCAGAGAGACACCCCCCATATATTCAGCAAAGATATTCCCATATATTCAACATGAACATGGTTGTCCCAGGGTGCAGAGAGGAAAGTGCGACTTGCAGCAATTAAAGGACCTGCAGCAATTAAAAAGCACCCCCAATGTAAGGGACATTCTTCCCACTGACCCCCAATGTAAGGGACATTCTTCCCACTGACCCCCAATGTAAGGGACATTCTTCCCCACTAACCCCCAATGTAAGGGACATTCTTCCCACTGACCCCCAATGTAAGGGACATTCTTCCCACTGACCCCCAATGTAAGGGACATTCTTCCCACTGACCCCCAATGTAAGGGACATTCTTCCACTGACCCCCCCAATGTAAGGGACATTCTTCCCACTGACCCCCAATGTAAGGGACATTCTTCTCACTGGCCACCAATGTAAGGGACATTCTTCCCACTGACCCCCCAATGTAAGGGACATTCTTCCCACTGACCCCCAATGTAAGGGACATTCTTCCCACTGACCCCCCAATGTAAGGGACATTCTTCCCACTGACCCCCAATGTAAGGGACATTCTTCCCACTGACCCCCAATGTAAGGGACATTCTTCCCACTGACCACCCCCAATGTAAGGGACATTCTTCCCACTGATCACCAATGTAAGGGACATTCTTCCCACTGACCCCCAATGTAAGGGACATTCTTCCCACTGACCCCCAATGTAAGGGACATTCTTCCCACTGACCCCAATGTAAGGGACATTCTTCCCACTGACCCCCAATGTAAGGGACATTCTTCCCACTGACCCCCAATGTAAGGGACATTCTTCCCACTGACCCCCCAATGTAAGGGACATTCTTCCCACTGACCCCCAATGTAAGGGACATTCTTCCCACTGACCCCCAATGTAAGGGACGTTCTTCTCACTGACCCCCAATGTAAGGGGCATTCTTTCCCACTGACCCCCAATGTAAGGGACATTCTTCCCACTGACCCCCAATGTAAGGGACATTCTTCCCACTGACCCCCAATGTAAGGGCATTCTTCCCACTGACCCACCAATGAAAGGGACATTCTTCCCACTGACCCCCAATGTAAGGGACATTCTTCCCACTGACCCCCAATGTAAGGGACATTCTTCCCACTGACCCCCAATGTAAGGGACATTCTTCCCACTGACCCCCAATGTAAGGGACATTCTTCCCACTGACCCCCAATGTAAGGGACATTCTTCCCACTGACCCCCCAATGTAAGGGACATTCTTCCCACTGACCCCCAATGTAAGGGACATTCTTCCACTGACCCCCAATGTAAGGGACATTCTTCCCACTGACCCCCAATGTAAGGGACATTCTTCCCACTGACCCCCCAATGTAAGGGACATTCTTCCCACTGACCCCCAATGTAAGGGACATTCTTCCCAGTGACCCCCAATGTAAGGGACATTCTTCCCACTGACCCCCAATGTAAGGGACATTCTTCCCACTGACCCCCAATGTAAGGGACATTCTTCCCACTGACCACCAGGGGAACGTTTATTGCTGCCTGTGTCCTCATAGCATAGTTTCCCTCACTTCCTGTTTGGTGAACGTGGTGTCACTGGTACAGGAAGTGAGGAGGAATCTCTCTAATGAAGCCCCAGACACAAAAAATCCAACCTGGAATCTAATCCTTCTGCTGTGTCCAAAACTAGAAAAAGAATTTTGGCTGAACTTCCATGTGAAAGTCCACCTGTGTTCTCCAGTAAGTTCTCCTAATCACGAGGGCTGGTGGGATCGGCTGCCGTGGTTGTCTAGGACCGCTTTGATGCCGTTCATCGCTGGAATCGGCTACAGGCACAATGTTGTCGTAAAATTATTAATAGCAATCCAAGCCTTGGAACCTGGAAGCAATTAGAGCCTAATGAGTCTCTGTGTCTGATTGTTCTTTTTATTGCAGCAAGTGCCGGCCGAGCAGCTGGAGAACATGAAGACTATGGGAATCATTAGTAGAAATTCAACACATGATTTCCTTCTGCTTGTTAACGTCGACTCTTACTCCCTGGTGTTAATACGCTCATGATGATTTCTTCCTGTGAACATGCTCATTAGCCGGCACAGTCCTTTCTCCTGCTTTGGTCATAAATCCAGTGCAGTCTCTATAGTGGCCGATACGGGGCTGCAATTGGCATCCATACTCACATGAAGTCAAATAAATGGCACGACTTTATAATTTTTACTGCTGTATAAAAAAAAATCTTTGTAAAAAGATGAAATACTTTTATCTAGAATGTTTCTGAGTGCGAGTTTTCTCAGTTCATTGAGTCCAGTAGACGGTTCTTCTCCGGGACTCAGACCGTGTAGACTCAGCTGTCACATGGATAGATACCAACCTTCCCACACAACCTCTACAGGTGTAGGAAATGACTTGGCCTTCACAATGGCAGTTCAAAGCACTCAGACCAAGGTTCCTCCAGAAGGTGCAAGGGACATTCTACCCACTGACCACCAATGTAAGGGACATTCTACCCACTGACCACCAATGTAAGGGACATTCTACCCACTGACCCCAATGTAAGGGACATTCTACCCACTGACCCCCAATGTAAGGGACATTCTACCCACTGACCACCAATGTAAGGGACATTCTACCCACTGACCCCCCAATGTAAGGGACATTCTTCCCACTGACCCCCAATGTAAGGGACATTCTACCCACTGACCCCCAATGTAAGGGACATCATTCCCACTGACCCCCAATGTAAGGGACATTCTACCCACTGACCACCAATGTAAGGGACATTCTTCCCACTGGGACATTCTTCCCACTGACCTCCAATGTAAGGGACATTCTTCCCACTGATCTCCCAATGTAAGGGACATTCTTCCCACTGATCATCAATGTAAGGGACATTCTTCCCACTGATCACCAATGTAAGGGACATTCTTCCCACTGACCCCACCAATGTAAGGGACATTCTTCCCACTGACCACCAATGTAAGGGACATTCTTCCCACTGACCCCCCAATGTAAGGGACATTCTTCCCACTGACCCCCAATGTAAGGGACATTCTACCCACTGACCCCCAATGTAAGGGACATTCTTCCCACTGACCACCAATGTAAGGGACATTCTACCCACTGACCACCAATGTAAGGAACATTCTTCCCACTGACCCCCAATGTAAGGGACATTCTACCCACTGACCCCCAATGTAAGGGACATTCTACCCACTGACCCCAATGTAAAGGACATTCTTTCCCACTGACCCCCAATGTAAGGGACATTCTTCCCACTGACCCCAATGTAAGGGACATTCTTCCCACTGACCCCCAATGTAAGGGACATTCTTCCCACTGACCCCCAATGTAAGGGACATTCTCCCACTGACCCCCAATGTAAGGGACATTCTTTGACCTAATCATGCTAATGTACTATGAGCTGTGGATATACTATCAGGTGGGGGTTCTCTGAGACTGGAAGGTTACTTCAAGAGTTCCTCCATGTTATAAAGGCTGAGAAGGTTGGTCTATCATGTGCTGGGAATTATCCTCCATTTCTGGTCCTGCAGCCTAATGCACATAACACTAATTTATTAAAGGAAAGCACTAGAGAGACCACAACCACTCGGGGTCTTTCCTTTCCCATTAGAATGTTAATAATCAGGACTGAGATATCCCAGGACACAAACTGTCCACATGAGAAGATGTTCCTTCCATGCCATGTCCAGCCCATTGTAGATGGCAGGAAATGCCCACCTGGTCCACACCCTTCATGTTATAAATGGACTCCAATATTACGGGAAGTTTAGAGAGAATATCTTGGAAGGTCAGAACGTGAAACATACAATTTCCACACTCTGAGTACAATGAAGAAAGGTTCTGATATGATTGCCAGCTCCTTCCTTTCCACCCCAGAGCTCGTAAAGAATATGGACTCTATTAGAAGCTTCTTGAAAGCTCCACCGGTAAACTCACAGCTGGACAGTTTATATTTCAGATATTTTTATGACCACAAAGTCATCATCAAAGACCCCGAGAAGTGTGAAGCTCCATATGGACTTAGAAGGGGAAAAGTAGAAACGATTTAAATACGGACGGAGTTTATGAAAGGGCGTAACATTTTATAATGGGCACATCCTCTACGTTGCGTCTAATAAAGAACATAAACCAGCATTAACTTTACTGGACCATTCGCAGAGTGTTTAAAGGGAAAACAAAAATGCCCTTTGGCACAAAGTCCCGGCACATCGAACACCGTGTCTGTACAGTAGACGTTCTATCTCTTGTCTGGGTTGTGCGGCATTATACACTTCTGTAAAAATTCCCCCATGTGACAAACAAGCCAACTCTACAACATTTACAAGGATGGAGCTCCTATGAGACCTTCCGGGATGACTCAGACTGAGGCTTTTTAATGCCACCTACAGATAATATAGACGCCTCTTTACAACGAACAAATACATCAGAAGCCGGAACTGGCTCTTCTCAGGTCTTACAGGAGAGTTTAGGGGACTTGTACATGGACAGAAATCCATATGAGTAATGGCAGCCCCCTCCGAGGGTAATATAGCAGATGTGCAATGCCGATATTGAAGAATAGGCAACACAAAGTCCCGGCCTTCATTCAGGGGTACACTAGATGACTTTTTTATGTTAGTTTTAAGCCTTTAGAGATTATGAACTGAAGAAATCTCAAGGCAGTGAACTCAGCAGGAACCCTAACCCCAATCCTAGGAATGAGGACTCTTTTTTTTCAATAGGTTTACTCTCTTGCAGTGAAGTTGATAAACACCCTTATTCAGTAAAATGGTGAATGGTTAGAACGTCCGTCAGGTTATTATAACTGACTGTGGTCACTGCTCCCCCCACTTGTCTGACTGTCACAGGGACAGGAAGTGAACGGAAGATTACCCAACAGGGTCACGGACAGAAGAAAAAGCTTGACATACACATATCCCTGCCTCTGCCAACCCTCCCCCATCTCACAGTCCTCTCCTACTTCCCTTCTTTCCTTCCCAAAAGTATACTACCTTTGACCCAAGAACCTTTTCCTTCCTATACCCAGTCTCCTCTTCTGCTTCTAGAACTGTTCCTGATGGAACTCCATAAACTAGCTCCTCCAATCCTCAACGTTTCCCTCACTCTTATCTATTGTTTCCACCATACTCTCTCTACCTCTACACAATATGCACATTCTCTATACACATCCTAACTTCTCTTCTTCTCCTCGGACTGTTCCTGAAGAGACCCCATAAATTACCTCCTTCAGTCATCATAGTTTACCTCACTCTTATCTATGGTTTCCACCCTACTCTCTCTACTACTCCACCCTATCCTCTCCTACACACATCCTTGCCTTCTTCTTCTCCTCGGACTGTTCCTGATGGGATCCCATCCCATCTCCAGTCCTTATAGCTTCCCCCACTCATATCTACGGTTTCCATTGTACTCTCTCTGTCTGTACCCTATCCTCTCCTATACACATTCTCCCCTTTTTCTTCTCGGACTGTTCCTGAAGAGACCCCATAACCTACCTCTTTCAATCCTCATAGCTTCCCTCACTCTTATCTATGGTTTCCACCCTACTCTCTCTGCTTCCACCCTATCCTCTGCTATACACATTCTCCCCTTTTTCTTCTCAGACTGTTCCTGAAGGGACCCCATAAACAACCTCTTTCAATCCTCATAGTTTCCCTCACTCTTATCTATGGTTTCCACCCTACTCTCTCTGCTTGCACCCTATCCTCTCCTATACACATTCTTGCCTTTTTCTTCTCGGACTGTTCCTGAAGGGACCCCATAACCTACCTCTTTCAATCCTCATAGCTTTCCTCACTTTTATCTATGGTTTCTACCCTACTCTCTCTGCTTGCACCCTATCCTCTCCTATACACATTCCCTCCCCCTTTTTCTTCTCAGACTGTTCCTGAAGGGACCCCATAACCTACCTCTTTCAATCCTCATAGCTTTCCTCACTCTTATCTATGGTTTCCACCCTACTCTCTCTGCTTGCACCCTATCCTCTCCTATACACATTCTCCCCTTTTTCTTCTCGGACTGTTCCTGAAGGGACCCCATAACCTACCTCTTTCAATCCTCATAGCTTTCCTCACTCTTATCTATGGTTTCCACCCTACTCTCTCTGCTTGCTTCCACCCTATCCTCTCCTATACACATTCTTGCCTTTTTCTTCTCGGACTGTTCCTGAAGGGACCCCATAACCTACCTCTTTCAATCCTCATAGTTTCCCCTCACTCTTATCTATGATTTCCTCTGTTCTCTTTACCTCAATGACAACTGAAGTGCTCATCAGACCATAATGACAAGTTGATCAGAATGCAGCCATGTGGTCTCCTATCAGGCACAGCACAATGTACCATACTACAGGCTTCTGTGTATCTAGAAGTTCGTTTGGCTTCCATTCTGTTGTTCTGGAAGTCTCTTGGAAGCCTACCTGTCAATGCCTATTGTATCTGTACCGCTAGAACTGGTAAATAAAAACAAAATACAAATCAGAAGTGTTTACTAAAGGAAAGGTTTAGGGTGGAGTTTGAATTCAGCCCTCTTAAATAGTAAATGGTTTAAATGAGGCGAGGGGGCAGGCTGGCCATTGTTTGCACCAAGTGACATTTCTGCATGGCACGTTTTACACGGGACCTCTCATCATCCTCTCATCATGTCTTCTCTGCTCAGGTAACTGACTCCACTCATCTCTGAAGCAGAAGCCACTTTGCATGACTGCAATCCACATCTGCTGTGCTGAGGCTTAGTGAATCTGCTGTTTCTACTTCACTGTATTGAGTTACATTTACTTTCATGGTGCCTTGTCCAAGATCAAACATCCAGCCTTATCTTGTCTCCATCCTTTGTGACCTCCTCTTTCACCATGTGTCCTTCATTAACCCTTAATTAACTGTCTAACCTCCCCCTACACCATCCAAGTATATATTCAGGACAACTGATGGCTGGCAAGGGGGCGGGCTGGCCAATTCTAAGGCAAAGCACCATTTCTGTGTGGCACTTTTTACACGGCACTTTGCAGCAGCCACAACCATCACTCTCTCATTTCAATTCCCCTGCTTCCACGAGCCAGCTCCCCCAATATGTGTCCTCTGGGATGTCCGCTCAGTCTCTGTCAGTTACCTTTTCCTTTCCAACTCCATCAACCTACTACTTGCTATTACTGAAATCTGGCTCCAGGAATCTGACTCTGTCTCTCCAGCTGCCCTCTCCCACGGTGGCCTCCTCTGGACTCACTCACCCAGACCCAGCAGATGAAAAGGAGGCAAAGTTGGACTTTCCCCACAAAGCACCTTCCTGTCAAATGCATTGATTGGAGGAAAAGCTGACAGAGGGCTTCTCCTGCGTCTCTGGTTGGAGCACCCTTAAATGTTGTGACAGAGGTACAATGTTCAAAGAAGCATGGGTACAGGTAGCTTGGTAGCAGGTGACTACCACAGAGATGTAGCCCAGGTGAGCCAGGGACATACTCAATGAAGCAGCAGTGTGGTCAGGAAGCAGGTTGAGGTCAGTGCCAGGGAAGCAGGCAGAGAATAGTCAGAGGCAAGTCGGGGTTGGTATCCAAAATCCACAGAGTAAGGTCAGGAACAAGCCGGGTCAAGCTCTGTTGGGAACAAGATCAGTCTACAAAAGCAGGAACACGGATCATGGGGAAGCTGAAGAACATCTAGTGATTAGCACACACCAGGGTCTCCTTTAAATAGGCAGCTTGGCATCAAAGCGCATTAACATGCGTGACAGAAATACGCCGGCGTGTCAGTGCACACTGGATACTAGCCTGAGCTCATCTGTGTGCTGGTACAGGTGTATGAGCATTAGCTGTATTAGCTTCCTGACACTTCCAGGTTCTTCTTACACCTCCCTCTCTGTCCCTTCGCTCCTTTGAAGTGCACTCTATCTTTTTCTCCGGTTTGTCAGAGGATTGCAGTCATCTCCTGGCCTCCTGGCCCAGTGTCACTCTTTCTTCATGACTTCTCTGCATGGCTACCCTACTTTCTCTCCTCTGAAGTACCCACCATCGTCCTTTAACATTCCAGTCCACTCACTTCTCAGCTACTCAACCTAACCGTCCTCCTTTAACCTAACACATTGGACACAGACCCACCACTCACTCCAATGGCAACACCCTCAACCTATTCTCCCACCTCTGCTCTCCCAGCAACCTCTCTAACACCCCCTTTTCCTCTTTCTGATCACAGCTTTATCACCTTCACACACTCCTCCCTCCCATGCCTCCAACCAGCAGTTATCATAGAAACTTCCACCACCTCAACCCTTCCCTTCTTCACTCTGCTACTGACTGCCTTTATGGTACAAACTCATCCCTGTCCTGCCCAGAGCTGGCCACTGCTACCTA